CTCATTTGATTTGGGTTTGGATTTCTGCTTACAATACAAACCACACTTCTAAATTGAAAATACAGGTCTCTCTGAACACTTCGGATGGCAATATGAGTGTTATGCAGATTCAATGTGTTATGTGTCAGGACTCAAACCTGGAAATGACATTTATAAATGTTATAAACAATGGTGAAAACTGGAGCACTGAGGTGTTTGAGGTATTTCTAAATAAGTAGTTTAGGCCCTTGTATTTCAGAGAATGTGACATGCTGCCCTAGACCTCTGTGATAGATAATACAAAAGCAGTAACTAAAATTTAGGGCTATTGGGGAATAAAGGTTAAGGATGATGCATATAATTTAGAAAATAGTCAGGCTTGGAGAAAAGAGAAAGAGTAAGATCTAGCAAATGTGATAAAATGTTAGGCATAGAATTCTACAGAAATCTGAGTTTTATCTGACCTATTTAATCACCAACGGGTTTATAATTTATTCTCTTTATATCTCTAGGACTTATCACAGTTTGTAATGTGTCATATGGGCTGAAAAATGATCAATAAATCAGTTTATTAGATAATATTCCATAAAAATTATGTATTAAATTTTTATATATTACTCTAAACTTTATAACAAAACATATTACAATATAAATACAAGAGAGAAGTGATATAGAAAGGAATGATTGTACCAAATGTAGATAAAATATCTGTTTAAATGAGTGAAGAGGCAGTTCTATTTACCTCTCTTCTTTTGAACATGAGAAGTTTCTTTTCATTTCTTGATCTAATTTAATGAGTCACTTATCTTACTGTTTAAGAAGCCAAAGGAAGTTTTCTGATTTCCTAAGATATGAATCTGAATCACAGCAAAATTAAGTCATCTGATAACAAGCTATAATATATTTAGAACATATTTTCTCTCTTGCTTACAAAAGTACTCCCACTTCTAGAAAAAAGACAGCAAACTTCATTGATGCAAATATAAATAAGTCAAACAAAATCTGGAGTAAAGCATAAACAATACTGATAGCAACTAGGATATTTCTACCACTTACTACAGGAAGAAATTGCCAGCAATTAAACCACAAAGAGTGAACTTACAACAGTGTGTGTAGTACACTTCTAACAATGTGTGTAATACTCAAGCCCACAACTCAAGAGTGAGAATCTCTACCCTGGTGCCATCTGTCATGGTAAGAAATGTGTCTCTATAACTTACTAGCAGAATAACATTGAAAAAATTACTATTTTCCTCATCTGTAAATTGGGGATAATAACACCTACCTCAAATACCACAATCCTTTATTATGAGGATTGAATCTGACAATCTACCTAAAGCACTCTGAACACTTGGTCATACAAAAAAACACTCAAAAAGCATTTTCTATTGATAACATTATTATTATTTACTACAGTGGAAATGGCTTTGCTATGGAAGAAGCAATAGATCAAGATCAACAGATGGACAATGACAAAGTAAAAACATAGCCCCTAAGTGGGGTAGGTTGACATGACCAGAGGATTCTCTTCATTCTCATCAGAAGTACACATTTCCATGTATCAAAGTAGAAATAACAAAATTGAACAATTACTTAATAATTTGTGTTGATTTAGTTAATTTGAATTTCAGAATAATACTTTACCTCTGAAAGAAAAGTTGACTGGCAAAAAACACCATAGATTGCAAGAATAAACTCTCTTTTTCATATATGGCAAATGCTTCCCTTAAACAAAATAAAACAAATGATCATAAAACCAACTGATGATTATGGCCCCAAATTGGCTGTTATACATATTTTGTAAAAGTATGAATCTTGAAATATAAATGCTGGGCTGGGCTCGGTGGCTCAGCCTGTAATCCCGCGTTTTGGGAGGTCGGGGTGAGTAGATTGTCTAAGCCCGCGGGTTCGAGACCCACCTGGGCAACTTGGCAAGACCTCATCTCTACAATAAATCAAAAAATTAGCCGGGCGTGGTAGCGCACGCCTGTAGTTCCAGCTACTTGGAAGGCTGAGGCAGAAGTACTGCCGGAGCCCAGCAGGTCCAGTCTGGGCGACTGAGTGAGACTCCAACTCAGAAAAAAAAAAAAAAAAAAAAGAAGAAAAAAAAAGAAATATAAATGCCAGGTGTAGTGGCCTGTAATCCCAATACTTTTGGAGGTCAAGCAAGAGGACTGCCTAAGGCCAGGGTTTGAGACTAGCTTCGGCAATTTGTTGAGACCATGTCTCTACAATAAATCAAAAAATTATCACCCCCTCATCAACAATGGTACCTACAAAATGGACATTTGTATACCTAACCCTGAATTGAACCCCATATCTTTAAAAATTTTTTTTTTAAAAACCAATTTAGGTTTTCATAGCTAATAAAGCAAAAGAGTCAGGATTTCAATAATAACAACAACAACAAAAATGAGCTGGGAGTGGTGGCATGAGCCTGTGGCTCCAGCTACTTGGAAGGCTGAGGTAGAAGGATCACCTGAGCCTAGCAGGTCAAGGTTGTGGTAGCCATGAGCATGCCATTGCTCTCCAGCCTGAGTGACAGAGTAAGACTCCTACTCAAAAGAAAGAAAGAAAGAAATATTTTTAAAGTTCTAATAAAATTATCACTTTCAAGATTTTGTGTTTTATCTTTTCAAGCATATATTCCAAAGGACAAGACAACCTACTGTTAAAAAGTGTTACACAGAAATCTAGTATAGGGCCTTCTACTTACCAAACCTTCAAGAAGTGTTTATGCTGCAGATTTTGAAGTAACACAGAATGAGGATCAAAACCCAGCTTCTATTTATATTTACTGGGTGGTACTGAACAAATTGCTTAACCTTTCTATAAATCTTAATGTCCTTATTTACACCATGGGATCAAAAATACCTAAGCTTCAAGAGTTTGGTGAAAATCAAATAAAGCAGCAATATGCCAAATATTCACACACAGTGACTGGTACACAGCATCTAATAATCTCCTTAACCCTGTTAATCATAATAGATATCAGTTCAATTATTATCTTTATATTATTCCATATTTTGTTGTTTCTCAAATTCAAAACCTGGACCTTAACTATTATGTAGACATTGTATAATGTTCTTGCATGTTTAAATTTTGAAATGAGAAATGATGTCAGCAAAAATGGTTGAGTAAAGGACCCAAACTTCCACCCCCCCTATAAAAACCTTTTTTAAAACCTGGCAAAAAATGGTCTGAATCAACATTTTTGGAATTCTGAAAATGAACTAAAGGAACTTGCAGCTTACTCAGGAGCAGCTTACTCAGGTTAAATAGCCAGATATTAATAAGAACTACAAAATTTGTGACATTTAAATTTACTCTAAATCCATCTCCCATCCTCTCAGCTCAACAGTAGCCTTAAAAATAATAGCCCACATTCCTGAAATTGGAGAGAGCATAATGAAACCCATTCACAAAGGGCTGTTTTTATTGGATCTGTCTAATAGTTCTCTGGAAGACAAGTTCAAAACACTTCATTTCTGACTGACTTGGAACTCACCTAGTACGAAACCTAGTACTCAGAGTGGGGATAGAAAATATTTACAGAAAATATATTAGCCACTGCTGTATGAGACAACAGATAACAATTGAGGCAAATAGTAGACTAACCCAAAAGCCTAGAAAATAAGACGAGAATGAGACATTCTTAAGATCTATGAAAAGCTCATATATATTCCTGGGAATCCAGACAGCCATGTGATTTCACACGACTGTGTGCATGCTCAAGAAAGTCTTTGGAAGGCCTTAAATATCACCTCTGGATGACCTTAAGGCTGAGGTTTGTTGAAAAAGTATGGTTGAGATGTGAATTTCAGAGTTCACATTATTATACTCAAAATGTACAATTTTCAACAACAAAAAAATTATAGGGTATGAAAAAGAAGAAAGTAAGGCCCATACACAGGAAAAAAAAGGCAACCAATAGTAAAAGTCTTACAGAAGGCAAAGATGTTACACTTGATAAATAAAGACTTTAATGCAGCTATTTTTTAAATGTTCAAAGAGCTAAAGTAAACTATATCTAAATAACTCTAGGAAAGACAGTTTTTCAACAAATAGAGAGTATCAATAGATAGTATTTTTTAAAATGACCCATACAAAAATTCTGGAATTGAAAATTACTGAAATAAAAAATTGCTGAAATAAAAAATCAGATTTGAGCCAGCAGAAAAAAGCATTAATGTGCTTGAATATACGTCAATGGAGATTATCTAACCTAAGGAACAGCAATAATAAATACTGAAGAAAAATGAACACAGCCTAAGAAATCTGTGGGATATCATCAAGCACACAAATATACAAAAAGTGAAAATACCAGAAAAAGAAAGAGCAAAAAGATACAGAAAGACTTTTTAAATAAATATGGCATGAGACATCCCCAAATTCATTAAAAAAATTAATCTATACTTCCAAGAAACAAATTCATTCCAAATAGGATAAATTTAAAGAATTACTCACACATACAATAATTAAAAAGCCAAAAATCAAAGACAAATCTTTAAAGAAGCAATTCATCACATACAAAGGATACTCAATAGGAAAATAGTTTATTGCTCATCAGAAACCATGAATACCAGAAGTCAGTGGGATGACATATTCAAAATGCTGGGGAGGAATTTAAACTTGGCTGCCACCCTCACCTCAACACATACACAAATACTGTCAACCAAGACTTCTAGGACCAGGACAACTACCCTTCAAACAATAAAGAAAAAAATTAAAATATTCACAGATTAAAAACTAAGAGAGTTCACCACAGGAAAAAATAAGGGGAGTTTCCAGGTTAAGATGGAAAGCACGCTAGATAGTCCACCCAAAGAAAAAAGGAGTTTGGGTTAAGAACTAAATAGGTAATACAAAAGATGGCACATAATTTTTTTTAACATATGTTTAATACATTAATGTATTTGACTTTGATTTTTTTCCTAATATTTTTCTGGTTTAGAAGTCAACTGCATAAAGAAAGACGTATAAATATGTTGATGAGTACCTAATATAAAGATGTAGTTTGACGTTCTCTGCACAAAATACTTGGTGAAGCCATAGAAACTGTCCCTGCTACAGAGTGGGAATTGCCGCAGCCCCAGGCTGAGACAGGATCTGGAACAGAATCTGACAGTGATGAATCAGTCCCAGAGCTTGATGAACAAGATTCCACACAGGCAACCACACAACAAGCCCAGCTGGCAGCAGCAGCAGAAATCGATGAAGAACTAGCCAGTAAAGCAAAACAGAATCAGAGTGAAAAAAAGGCATCAAAGACTGTGTCTAAACTGGGTTTTCAACTCGAATATAGGCCAATGGAGATTATTTAACCTAAAGAACAGCAACAATAAAGACTGAAGAAAAATGAACGCAGTATGAGAAATCTGTGGGACACCATCAAGCACATAAATATACAGATGATGAAAATGCCAGAAAATGCCAGGTTATAGGGGTTACTAGAGTCACTATCCAGAAATCTAACACGAGTATCCTCTTTGTTATTATAGAACCAGATGTCTATAGGAGCTGCGCTTCAGATACCAACATAGTTTTTGGGGAAGCCAAGAGTGAGGACTTATCTCAGCAAGCACAGCTAGCAGCTGCTGAGAAATTCAAAGTTCGAAGTGAAGTTGTCTCAATTACACACAGACTCCAAATGTACAACGGAAAAGCAAAGATGAAGAGGTTGATAAAACAGCTATGGAAGTTAAGAACATGGAATTGGTTACGTCACTAGCAAATGTGTCAAGAGCAAAGGCAGTCTGAGCCCTGAAGAACAATAGTAGTGATATTGTAAATGCTATTCTGGAATTAACAATGTAAGCATCTGAAAAAGACTTTTGGGGGGGGGTTTAAAAGAGTACCAGCAGCTTGGTTTGAAATCTGTACTGTTTCTATCATTAATAAAGTTATGGCTTCTTGCTGGATGAAAAAAAAAAAAGAAATATGATGTAAATTGCATAACAGCATAAGGTGGGGGAGACTGAAGCAATGTAGGAGCAAAGTTTTTATATATTATTAAAAATCAGCCGGGCTCAGTAGCTCAGCCTGTAATCTCAGTGCTTTGGGAGACCGAGGTGAGTGGATTGCCTGAGCCGGTGGGTTCGAGACCCACCTGGGCAACTTGGTGAGACCTCATCTCTACAATAAATCGAAAATTAGCCAGGTGTGGTAGCACACACCTGTAGTTCCGGCTACTTGGAAGGGTGAGGCAGAAGGATCATGGAGCCCACCAGGTCGAGGCTGCGGTGGCCGGGAGCGAGCATTACACTCCAGTGTGGGTGACAGAGTGAGACTCTAACTCAAAAAAACAAAAACAAAAACAAAAAAAAACCCCAAAAAATCAAATTGGTAATAATCCAAACTAGATTTTCAAAATTAAGATATTGATTGTAATCCTTAAAGCAACTACTAAAAAAAAGAGATTAAGTTATAAGATAGAAATTAAATTAGTACACTAGAAAATACCTATTTAACACACAAAAGAAGATAGTAAAGGAGAAGCAGAGGAACAAAAAGATATATAATACATATAGAAGATGAAGAACAGCTGGGCTCGGTAGCTCAGCCTGTAATCCCAGCTCTTTGGGAGGCCGAGGTGAGCGAATTGCCTGAGCCCACGGGTTCAAGACCCACCTGGGCAACTTGGTGAGACCTCATCTCTACAATAAATCAAAAATTAGCCGGGCGTGGTAGCGCATGCCTATAGTTCTGGCTACTTGGAAGGCTGAAGCGGAAGGATCGCGGAGCCCAGCAGGTCGAGGCTGCGGTGGCAAGGAGCGGCCACTGCACTCCAGTAGGGGCGACAGAGTGAGACTCAAATCAAAAAAAAAAAGAAGATGAAGAACAGTAAAATGGCAGAAGTCATTCCTTATTAGTAATTACATTTAAATAAAAAAAATTAGCAAAATGATAAGCTAACAGAATGAGCAATTTACTATCAACAAAAGACTCATTTTAGTTTAAAAGACATAAATAGGTTTTTAAAAAGCATGAAAAAATATTCCAATGAGGATTTGACATAGAAATACAAATTCAACATAATAAAAAGTCAGTAATACAACATATTAGCAATATATGTTTTCTTTGTGTTGTATTATGTATCAGTAAATACAACACAAAGAAAACAAAAACATGGTAATATCAAGAGACACTGAAAAAGAAAAAAATATGATTAAAAAGACACCCAAACCAGAACAAAAAGATAATTTTTCTTAAGCTGATAAAGAGCATCCATGAATAATCTACACCTAACAACAAAACACTGAAGTTCTTCCCCTAAATCAGAAGATAAAAATTTCTGCTCTTGCTAACTTCTATGCACCCTTGTATTGAAGGTTTTAGCCAGGCACAGTAGGTAAGAAAAAGTAATAAAAAGCACCCGGGTTAGAAAAGAAAAAGTCAAACTGCTTCTATTTGCAGAACATAATCTTATATATAGAAACATCAAAGAATCTAAAAATAACTTAATAGAGCTAATAAGTTCAGCAAAGTTGCAATATACAAGATTAACATGTAAAAAATTGATTTGATTTCTATAATAGCAAAGCACAATCTAAAAATAAAACAATTTAACTTATAGTTGTATCAAAAAGAAGAAAATGTCTAAAAATAAATGCATCCAAAGAAGTATAAGACTTGGATACCAAAAACTACAAAACAGCAGTGGAAGAAATATTAACAGACTTTAATAAATGGAAATATGTCCTTTGTTTATGGATTGGACAGATTAATATCGTTAAGATGGTGTTTTATTCCATTTAGGCTGTTATAAGAGAATACCATAGGCTGAGTGTCTTATAAACAACAAGTGTTTATTTCTCACAGTTTTGGACACTGAGAAGTCCAAAATCAAAGTGCCAGCAGATTCACTGTTTGGTGAGGGCCTGCTCCTTGATTCGCTCACCCATATGACAATAAGACCACAGATCTTGCCTCATCCTCATGACAGAACACTGAGAGAGCTGTGTTCTCTTTTATAAAAGCAAGAATCCCACTCATGAGAGCTCCACCCTTGTATTCTAATCACCTTCCAAAGACTCCACCTCTTAATACGATCACATATGAATTTTGCAGAGAGCACAGTCCCCAAATTGATCTAATGCAAATAAATCAAAATTCCAACTGTTTTTGCAGAAATGAACAAGCTGACCACAGAATTGATATTGAAATGTCAAGGAACTCAAATAGTCGAGGCAATTTTATGAAGAGAAAACCAAGGATCTGTACTTCTTGATTGCAAAATTACTACAAAGCAACAAGACAATGAGGCACTGGCCTAAGGAGAGGTATAACAGATCAGTGGAAACAGAATTGAGAGTCCAAAGATAAAACAAAACATGTATGGTTGATAATTTTCAACAACAGTGCCAAGATGATTCTAGAGAGAGGGGAAAAAAAAGTCTTTTCAACAAATGGAACTGGGAAACTGGATATCTATATGCAAAATAATATATTTGGAAAACAAGCTCGCACCATTTACAAAAATTAAGTCAAAATAGATCAGTGTCTTAAATGTAAGACATAAACTATAAAATTCTTAGAAAGAAACATAAGTGTAAATGAATATGACTTTGAATTAGGTAACATCAAAAATCCAATAAACAAAAGAAAAAAATTATAAATAAGACCATCAAAATAAAAAATTTGTGTCAAAGGATACTAACAAGAAAATGAAATGGCACCGCATGGGACAGGAGAAAATATTTGCAAATCATATATCTGATAAAAATCTAGTATTCAGACTATACAAAGAACACTTACAACTCACTAATAAAAATCAAATAATTATCCGGGCTCAGTGGCTCAGTCAGTAATCCCAGCACTTTGGGAGGCTGAGATAAGTGGATTGCCTGAGCCCACGGGTTCGAGACCCACCTGGGCAACTTGGTGAGACCTCGTCTCTACACTACATCAAAAATTAGCCAGGCATGGTAGCACACACCTGTAGTTCCAGTTACTTGGAAGGCTGAGGCAGAAGGATCGCCAGAGACCACTGGGTTGAGGCTACTGTGGCCGGAAGCGTGCCACTGCCCTCCAGTCTGGATGACGGAGTGGGACTCCGACTCAAAAAAAACCCCCAAAAAACAAAAAAAAACCCAAAAAAGCCCAAATAATCAATTAAGATGTGGGCAAAGTATTTAAATGGACATTTTTTCAAATATATATAAATGGGCAATAAGCTCATGAAAAGGGACTCAAAATCATTAGTCATTACTATAAACCACGTGAGAAACCACTTCGCATACACACTAGGGTAGTTATAATTTGAAAAAAAAAAAAAAGAAAAAACGTTGAAAATGTAGAGGAATTAGAACACTGTTGACAGAAATGCAAAATGGTGCAACCACAATAAAAAATGTGACTCTTTCTCAGTAAGTTAAGCACAGTTAACATATATCCCAGCAATTCCATCAATTGATGAATGAACAAATGTAGTATTATCTATAATTTGAAATGTTATTGTACCATAAAAAGAAATAAAGTACTGAAGCATGCTACATGGATGAACCTTGAAGACATTATACTAAGTGAAAGAAGTTCGAAAGAAAAGGCTACATATTGTATGACCCCATTATGTCAAATGTCTACAATAGGCAAATCCATAGATACAGAAAATAGATTCATAGTTGCCAGGGGATGATGGGAAAGATAAATTGGAAAGTAATACAAATTCCATTACCTGGAATTAGATAGTGGTGATGGTTATACAACATGGTGAATATATTAAAAACCACTGAATTGTACACTGTAAATAATAATTTAAAAGCTATATAAATTTTATCAATAAAAATTTGCAAAACAACTTTTGAAACTGAATAATTCGCCCCAAAATCCATGCATGCACTGATTCTTATTTTCATTCTCTTTAGATAATGTCCCACAGGTATCAACAAGTTGGCATTTTTGGAAATATTTATTCTGATTCTCTCTATGCTATTATGTATGTATTCTAACTGGCATAGGGCTAGATTCTTCTCGACATACTAATCATCTTCAATTTTGGAGATTTGAAGAAACACTGTTTAAGTATCCTTGTTACATAACCTTGTAAACAGTATTTCTTCAAAACTCCACAATTGAAGATTCTTAATGCCGATATACATATAGGTATAGATGGCTAATCAGCTATTAGATAAACATGTAAGAAATATAATAAAAATATTCCTATTATCCAACCACATGTTCTCTCACAAAGTCCTTCAGAGGTAATACTAATTCATTTTTGTCAAAATTTTATCAACTAGTATCTTAAATAAATTGCTCAATAGAAAGTACTAACTTTAAACTGCATTTATTTATTTATTATTTTTATACTTCATACTTTTTATTCATATTCTAAAGCTACGCTGACATTCAGCAACAAGAACTTACCCTCAGCATAGGGCCATTTTGAAACACATGTGGCTCATCACAAACCACACAATATTCATTCAATACAGGGATTCGCTGTTCAGCAAACTCAATAGTCTGAATAAAACAATAAGGAAACGTATTTAAGTCACGTTCATAAGTGATTTGGTAATGCAATAAGAACCAAAATATTTCTACAATGGATAGAGCTTTGGGCTCATACCTGCACTAGGAAGCCACGGTCTCGTATTGGAATGCACTTTGCACCATTTGGCTATAAAAAGCAAAGTAAATAATAATAATAATAATAATAATAATAATTTTTTAATTAGAAAAATGTATAAATCATAGCCTTTTACATTTTGCAACAGTGAATACAAAAGTAATCTAAAAGCACATAAAATATAATTAAGTCACTGATTAGGACATCAAGATTTTAGAATTGCCTTATTCACTCTATTATACCCTTTCTGCCATTACTACAGCCATCTTTGCCTACACTAAATGAATAGCATTCTTAATTTCTGATCTTCTAGTAAAAAAGACTGACATCTTTACATCACAAAACTTGTTTCCTCTATTATTCATCAGCAAATGCTCACATCACTTCATTAGCGTACTTCAGTCTTATATTACAATCAAATACAATTATCCCTCCAAAGAAATACTAGACAGCTACTGAAAGTGGCACAACATAATACAGTAAACTGTATTATGCTTAGGCACAGAAGAGGTCATTAAGACACTTTCTTTTACAGAATATTTGAAATGATCCTCCTTGGATAAAACTATCCTGGGAAACTTTCCACTATGTAATGGTTCAACTGTGTAATGGTTCAATTCTCCATGTCGTCAATGCTTATCTTTGAATAGAAATAGACTTTTAGGATATTCAAATAAAATTATCTTCATAATGATTTTTATAAAATAAATATAATTTTATAATGTAATTTATAATTTAATTTTAGAAGTACATACATATAATGACACTGCTTTCTGAAAAGTGTCTTTTTTTTTGTTTCCTCTATCACTGAGCATATTCATATTAATGGTTAGAACTAAATATACACCCCTAACATACACACATACATATTTAGCAAAAGGAATCAACACTTTTCATCAGTTACTTTTAATATGTGAAGGATAGACATAATTTCTCTACCTGAAATTGGCTATCATGCCAATAATTCTAGTGATAAATTTTGTGTAAGACTTATTCTCCTTAAGTACCACCAAAAATAATTATTATTAACGTCATCTCCTGGCCCCATGTCTCCAAGAAAACAACTTCGGCATAAAGTGACTTCAGTATAAAGTGGACAAGAACAACTTTAAGTGAGGCTCTGGGATGACAGTTGTAAATGTTGTTTCTCTTCACAGGTAATGATGCACATGGGGCAAAGTTGTCCACTTACATATAACCAGAAAGCAATAAACCTACTCAATAAAACATTAAAATTATAAGCTTGTTTAAAGGAAAAGGCTCAGTGAATTCAACTGCTTCCTTCCATTTTTAGTAGCATTCATTATTATGACAGGAATTTGGATTAGATCTCAAATCAATAGCTACAGTACTTTTTCAGAATCAAAACTGATGGGCCGGGTATGGTGGGTCAAACCTATAATCTCAGCACTCTGGGAGGCTGAGACAAGAGGATTGCCTGAGCCCTGGGGTTCGAGACCAACCTGGGTGACTTGGCAAGACTCCATCTCTACAATAAATCAAAAAATAAGCCGGGCGTGGTAGCATGCCCCTATAATTCCAGCTACTTTGAAGGCTGAGGCTGAAGGATTGCCTGAACCCAGCAGATCAAGGCTGCAGTGGCCATGAGTAGCATGCCACTGCATTCCAGTCTGGGTGACAGAGTTAGATCCCTACTCAAAACAAACAAACAAACAAAACAAAGAAACTGACATTTCAGTGCCAGTTACAAATGTCTGGTACACAAAATAATTTCCAAAAAGAAAAAAAGTAAATAAAACAACAAAAAAAGTTTTGCTTCTTTCCTCTACCAGATCTTACCATATATATATTCTACTGCACCTTAGCTAACATTTAAGAACTCAACATGAAAATATTTACGCACAGCAGGCTGGGAAGATGAAGATGAAGATGGTGTTAGGATACCAATAAGCCCTGAGGTAAGAGAGAGCCTCCTGCCCTCTGCGTTAGGTTCCTTGAAAAGCTCAGTTTTGGATGACTTGGGGGCATTGGAGTAGGACTTGCTGAGCAACTTGTGATTTTTCAGACCATATATTTCTTCCATTCTGAGATTGCTGGAGTAAGACCTGCTTAACAGTTTATGGGGCTTCAAGTTGGTATTGTGCTCACAGCGAGGATCTCCAGAACAAGATCGAGTCAATAGTTTATGTGACTTAAGAGTGAGGCAATCCTCTGGCTTAACCGTTGCAGGGCAGGGACGGTTCAAGAGTTTGTGCGATTTAATCGTTGTCATTGCCTGCTCAGCCCTGGGGTCACTAGACAGGGAGCGACCAAAGGTCCTGTGTGACTTTGTGGCACACACGTCATCCGTCTTGACTGTGCTGGAACAAGTCCTCCGCAGCAGCTTATGTGTTTTGGAGATTCCATCTTGCTCAGATTTCAGTTTGGATTTGCTTTTACCACAACCAGGGGGTGGATAACTCGGCGACCTTCAGAATTGAAAAATAACACAGGGCACATCATGGGTATAACAGACCATGGAGAACACCTGCCATGCTCAAACAAAATTTGACTATGCTATAAATATTTTACCACCCCCTTTAATGTAGCCTACCCAGTTAAAACTGAAATCACAGGTATCTGCAGAATGATCACAGGAATTTAATCCTTTAAAGAAAAAAAAGGCTCTAAGATTCTTTACTTCCTTCTACCTATCCCAAAGTCCTATAAGGAACTAAGTTTGGTAGAGAAAACTGTAGGTGATTAGAAAACAAATAATGTAATTTTAGTAAATTAACCAATGTTAAAGAAAACGTTAAACATAGAAATGAGTATTTATGCTTTTTGATGAAATGCATGTAACTTAGTTGTTTTTTTTAAGTCATAAAAAAATAAACAGATGACCAGACTATAGAAAGAATGCACTAAGCCTGGGGTATCACTGTCACATGCTCAGCATTTAGTAAGACAATAAGGAAGGTGCCTGTTACCAACCTGCGCAAAGTAGAAAATAAATGCAGGGGAGACTTTGCTTTCTTCTCTGACAACTTTTTATTGTGCAGGCAATTGGATTTTTCTTTGCTCTGTTTCCACTGCTGTGTAACAAACGTTTGCATAATCCTGTCGATCCAAAGGTAATTCTGTTATCACATTTCCAAGGTAACTTCAATGAATAGTTCGTACTTAATATGTAGAGAATGCATTTATCAGAGGAAAATGAATACACCGAAATCAACGAGGTACTAATTTAGAAACATACACAATTTTTCATGTATAGGAAAACATCAGATAGCCCAGGACTTTACTAGACTAATTCTATCACAGTAAATGACAATAATTACTGTTTATTAAAAGTATTAAATTATAATTATTAGTGGGATATAATCAATAGTCCAAATGAAAGAAAAACTCATATAAGAATAAAGATATAAAGATATTAACACAGGCCGGGCATGGTGGCTCATGCCTGTAATCCCAGCGAGAGGACTGCCTGAGCCCATGGGTATGAGGGTAGCCTGGGCAACTTGGTGAGACCTCTTCTCTACAATAAATCAAAAAAATTAGCCAGGCATGGTGGCGCATGCTTGTAGAGCCAACTACTTGGAAAGCTGAGGCAGCATAATTACCTGAGCCCAGTAAGTCGAGGCTGAAGTGGCCCTGAGCTTGCCACTGCACTCCAGCTTGGGTGACAAAGTGAGACTCCAACTCAAAAAATAAATAAATAAATAAATAAATAAAGATATCAACAACATTAGTTGAAATGGCAAAAATATTCTGAATTATACTGTAGGTGCTGGAAATTCAATTTTTAAAATTTTTTGTTACTAATTATTATGTAACTTTTAAAGATAGAAGGAAAACAAGTTTCTTTGTTTTGCTTTGTTTGAGTCAGAATCTCATTCTGTCACCCAGGTGGAGTGCAGTGGCACACTCATGGACACCCCATGTCGACTGGGCTCAGGTGATCCTTTTGCCACAGCCTTTTAAGTAGCTGGAACTATAGGCGTGAGCTACCACACCCGGCTGATTTTTTATTTGTTGTAGAGACGAGGTCTTGCCAAGTTGCTAGCGCTGGTCTCGAACCCTCGGGCTCCGGCAACCCACTCACCTCCATCTCCCAAAGTGCTGGTAGTACAGGTACTCAAGTTTTTAAACTTATCAATTTTGATGGCTTCTAGTGCTTTTGCTGTTTTTTGTTTCACCTCTTCCACATAAGCAAAATGTTTCCCTTTGAGAACAAAAAGTCGACAGGGGTGAGATCTGGTAAATAGGGTGGGTGGGGCATGGAGGCCATGCCATTTTTGGTCTAAAAACTGTTGAGCACTGTGTGGGCAGGTGCTCTCATAAATCGTCCATCATGAAACGGGCAAACATGTTGAAAGAACCTCCAAAAAAAACCCCACTGGAAACAAACACAGCCTCTCACTACAATGTTAGCTAGTACACTGATGTCTATGGGTTCCTAAAAAGCTTACCTAGCAAGGAAGTCTGTATGTACTACAAGGGATCTGCCCTCCAAAAGACAATTCCGAGGGTTTTCTCAGTCCCCCTCACAAAAAGACAGCAAACTGTATCTTCAGCACAGTTCAGTTACCTATAAATATGCTATTTTTAAAAATTTGGATATGGATACATATTTTTAGTTATCATCATAAAGCAGGAATTGGATAATTCCTAATAATAGTATAGATCCTTAATCAATGCTTTAAAATAATTCTGGAATGGCAACTGTGAAATTTGACACAGTGCTGTCTTTTTTGAGAAGCATCCTAGACTGGCATGGCTTCTCTGTATCCCATCTTATCAGTGGCAGTGAAGGAGGGTCTCCTAACACTGATATTTAAATAGATGTGAAATTTTGCAATTAAACATGCATTTAAAAAAACATTTTGCTTTTCTTTCAAAAATCACTTCAGCATTATCTGTTTTTCATGCTTGTCTCAATTATTTCAACATGAATTGCTTTTGGAACAACAAAAAAAATCATGGATAAAAATCAACAGAGCTACAGTATGTATATTATTAAATAAGGGTTGTCATATGTATAAAGTCTATTATTCAAAACGGACAGATGTGACTCCTAGCTTGAGGCCAATTATCAAATTCCTCAAGATCCTTTAGGGCTTAACAAACTAATTCAGACTGCCAGAAAGCATATCACTTATGGTTACTACTCCAACCTTTCTTCTGCTAGTTTTGATGAGTTCAAAAAGAAACAATCATGTACTGAATTATTTTGGGTCCCATTAGCAGAAATGGTGAGAAAAAAGGGGTAAAACTGCAACGAAGGAAGCCATGATTCCAAATTCACAGTACAGAGTAAGGACAAAAAAACTTTTATCTTATACTTCTTCATATTTGAATATTTTTTTCACCCAAGATTTCAGTAGGATTTAAGCGTAATCATAATATTAGGATTCTCATTTATACCTGTGCCTAATCTGAAATCTCCACTGACATAACATTTATACCAAGTAGTCGTAGAATTTCTTCTAATGGAAAACTGCTATCCCTGTGCGTGATTCCCTGGGAAATCTGGCGAGTGCTTACCTAATCTTGATAAGCAAAACAAACAACAACAAAAAAACACCTAACAAGTTAAATAGCTTAAATTCTTGACCACTTTAATCTTTGGATAGTATGACTTCAATAGCTAAGATCAGTAATTCTAAAACTTGGATACCAGGATTCCTAGTTGTTCTTGGATGCAGAAGTTGTTTTCGATAGGACATATAAAGCTGTGTTTAATTTTAAGGGTAATGTGAAGAATACAGATGAACACATTTGGTTTAACAGCCACCTCCTCATGACAGAGTGCCACTAGGAGAGTTCAGTATTTACATCTGAGTTTGTGTTTACAATTGTGTTGGCAACAAAAGTACTACAACCATTCCCACTGGCTGAATGGATGGAAGGAAGGAAGGAAGGAAACTTCAAGGTAATCTATATACTTGAATCAAGTCAAGAGCAGACAATGTCACAGCCAGCTATGTGAACAAAGGTTCTGGGATAGTAAGAGAAAAGTATGTACATATGGGTGTCTTCCTAATATTCCCCATGCTGATTTCAAAGGGACTGTACACTAGAGCAGCTAGTATTACACTCATACTGCAGTGGTGAAGCAGCTTTAGCAAAACATCACCCATTAAATTAGTGGTATTAATTTGAATTTTGAGTGTTTTATCTTTATTTGCACTTATGTCGTAAATTGAATTTTGTTTTACAGATGTGAAATGCTACATATAAAGAATTTATATCTAATTTTAGGCTGTACATATTTAAAGAAAAACTGGTGTTTACCAAATGTGACACTGACCACTGCATCTGTTTCAGGTCAGTCATGAGAAAATATGGTCCTTCAGGAATTCTCCACAAATACAAATTCTTAAAGTTGATATGTTAATAAGTATAGTATCTGAAAAGTCAGTTCAAATGGGGTCGTTTTATGTCTTTTTATAGGAGGTGGAGACTCATCCAGACTCCACGTCTAAAGAAAGAGCTGCAGTCTCTCTGCATGGAAGGCCGCTAAAGGAGAACATATGAAAAATATCCTTATTTTCTTCATGGAAAAGCACAAGCAGCACTCTGGATCCACAACAAAACACAAGTCAATGGGCCCCACTGGATGCCTTAGATCACACTAGGGATCATGTGTTTTTAGAAAAAAAATTGAAAGGCAATTATTGTGTCTACAATTTATCAGTGTTCTTTATCTACTGTAAGAAGCAATTTCTTTCTGGTGTCATCATATGTGGCTCTATCAGTGTTTTCTTTTTCAGTTTTTTTTTTCTGAAAAAGATGTTTTCTATAAAATAGACTTAAAGACTGGAAAACAAAAGCAAATTAGAGTTGAACAATGGGAAAAATTACCAAAAAGCCCCTGTGAGATTTAAGAGGCAAAACCTTCATTTATCTTTTCCTGATGCTTGAAAGTATTATAATTTATTTCTATTTCGGGTCATTAGAAAATAACAAAGTGTGCCAGAACCCTAATGACTATATAAAGTCTATATAAAGACTATATAGATGACTATATAAAGTCTATATAAATGACTATATAAAGACTATATAAAGGTCTAATGGCTATATGAAGTCTGACAATTAAGTTTTCGAACTTGCCACCTTGCACTTACATTGGCAGCACAGTATAAGCAACTCGGTACGGTTTCATAACCGTGGTATGTCAATGTCTCACAACTGTGTTTGTCTTGACGTGTAGTGGTGTCTTGCTGAGAGGCATTCATTGTTGCACATATTTGTGTGCCAGCACGAAAATGTTGGGGGCTTGAATTAGAACAACGAATAAACATTAAATTTCTTGCTAAACTTGACAAGGCTGGAAGTGAAAACAGGGACATGTTAGTCCAAGTGTATGGCGATAATGCCATGAACAAAATGTCAGTGTACAAATGAATTGAATTTCTGGGGGGAGAGAAAGTGTCACTGATGAAGAGAGGTCAGGATGACCAGTAACGAGCAGAACTGACAAAAACATTGCAAACATTGGTCAAACTATGTATCAAAATTGTAAGCTGACTGTGAGAAGCATGGTAACCAAATAAACATCAATAGAAAAACAAGAAAATCTTAACTGAAAATCTTGGCATGAGAAAGGTATATGCAAAAACGTTCCCGAAGGAGCAACAATGCACCAGCTCACACAGTACCATCTGTGAGAGAGCTGCTAACCAGTAAACAAATAGCTGTATTGGAATGCCCTCCCTACTCATCTGATCTGGTCCCCAGTGACTTTTTTCTTTACCTGAAGATAAAGGAAGTATTGAAAGGAAGACACTTTGATGACATTCAGGACATCAAGTGTAATACGATGACAGCTCTGATGGCTGTTCCAGAAAAAGGAGTTCCGAAATAGCTTTGATGGGTGGACTAGGTGCTGGCATCGGTACATAACTTCCCAAGGGGAGAGCTTTGAAGGTGATTGTAGTAATACTCAGTAATAAGGTGTGTAGCACTTTTTTCTAGGAGGAGTTCTCAAACTTAATTGTCAGATCTTGTATGTACTAATAATGACACATTAAAGAATGTATCTGCCTATTCAAATTATGTACATACTATATTTTTGAAGAACCAAGTCCATTTATACAGATAAATTAAGTCATTGTATGTGTCAAGATCCAAAAAGAAAATAAAGAGCTTATTTACAAAAGGAATGTTTCAAAGTGTAGGTATGGGGGATGGGTCAGCAACCCAGGGCTGCTACTAAACTATGGCTGCTCAACTGACACCACCTCCAGGCCCCCAGAAAAAGCCGTGAGAACCATGAGTAGAACCCAGGAAGAGAGAAAGTCATGCAAAGACTGCAGCCTGGAGCAGAAAGGGAAGCTTCAGGCGAAAGACAAGTTAGCTCCAGGGGACCTCCTGAGGAAGAAACCAGGGCAGGAAATAACCCCACCTCACTTTCCTTCCTCCCACTATTGGTCACATTAAGAACCCAGAGACATAAAAGGCTGTGTCCACAAAGTTTAGCCTCTCTGGGTAGACTGTTAGAGTGAGGAGAGTGAATCTCGAACAGCAAATAGGAGAACCCTAGCCTAGGCTGAAAAGTGAGCTCTGCTAACAAAATGAATACAGCTTGTAGCATCAGGATGATTTCAACTTGTAAGTAGCTCACATCAAAAGCTTTTACTGAATAAAGGTTTTTTATTTATTTTTATTATTTGCACTGCAGCAAACTTACTTTTTTAGCTGATGCCCCAATCCAAATCGTTCTTTTGTGGAAATCTGAAAAACATCAACAGTAGGCACTGGAAAGGGAAAAAAAAAAACATAGTCAAATATTGACTTGAAACTCAACCATCAGCCACGAAAAACACTGAAACGGTAGTATGTGTATATACATAAACATACACTTGAAAAGTATACACTCAGTCCTATACATTGCTATCATGCTATATACATATAGGAGATCATTATTAGTCATTATATATTAAGGTATGTGTGCATATGTAAATGAATATATATAATGAGGAAAAATTATCTCTAAGATAAGCAATAGCTGAAAGAGCCATGTGTAGCAGAGTTAGTATACAGTTTTTTAAGTCGACAAAAGACTTGTGTTGTCTTTCTAGAAGTAAATAATGGGAGCTGAGGAAAGGCATAGGAGACTTGCTTTTCACTGTGTATATCCTTTTAGATGGTTCATACTTTTACCAGGTGTGTGTGTGTGTGCACATACTCATTTATTTATTATATCAATAACTACATATTTATGAAATTAATAACCTCTCAAAAAAGTTACTTATTATGACTCACTGGTTTAAAGAGTGTTTCTCGAATGTCTATTGTGCCAGTCACTAGAGATAGAAGAGCAAAAATAAACACACACAAATACCATTGCTCCCATGAAAACCAGGTGAGGAAACATACAACGCTACATGGTGATAAAGGCTCTGGAGAAAAATAAAGAGGAGAAAAGCTATACGGGCTGCAGATTATATGGGCATAAGAAGTTTCAACACTAGAAAGGAACAAAAAGGAAGAAAATGTCCCAGCCAGAGGAAATAACAAAGGCAAAAAGCCCCGGAGGAGAAAATGTGCTTATATATTCAAGAAACAGGTGGAGACCAGTGTAGGGAGCGGAGTGAAACAAGGTATCATGTCAAGAGATGAGAACAGGAGGGAGATGAGAGCAAGAGGGAAGGAGCATGGTAGGAAGTAGGGGGTTGGAAGGGGTGGGGCGCTGTGTAGGATCTCTTGGTTAAAGCACCAAGAGAGAAATAGGAAAATCGGACAGGAAAGTTTTTGCAGTAAGTGAGGCAAGATATATAGGGCTTAGGACTGTGGAGGTGTTGAACATTTAGAAGGCACACTTCTAGGAGAGCTGACAGATTTGGCTGATGGACTGGATTTGAGTTGTGAAAAACAGAGGAGCCAAAGATGAATCTAAGAATTACGGCCTAAGCAACCAGAGGCACAAAATTTGCCAATTCCTGGAATGTAAAGGACTGCAGGAGGAACAGGCGTGGTGAGGTAGGTAAGGCAAGTTATCCAACTACATATTTTAAATTTGACACTGGAATGGAAAAATGAGTAGGCAAATTGGATAAAGAAGTCCAAAATTTAGGCACTGAGGTGAGAGGAATGTACTAAAGATATATACATTTGGAACAGCCAGTGTGTGTGTATATATATATTTAAAGGCACGAGGCTGGATGAGAAACCACTCAGTGAGTGTAGGTGGATAAGAAAGTAAGTCTGAGGATTAGGCCCTGAGCCCAACTCAGCAAAGCAGGCTGAGGAGAAATGGCCAGAAGGACGGAAGATTCCAGAGTGCTGCTGATCTGAACACAAATTCAGAAAGGATTTTCAAGGAGGAGGTAAACTGTTATTAAATACTGCTAAGTCGATTAAGATGAGGACTCAAAATTGGTTATGGGTCATTTAGCAAAACTGACACTGGTGACACTGACAAGAGCAATGTTTGTGAAATGATGGGACCAAAACCTGTCTTGAGAGGATTTGATGAGAGAAAAGAAAGAGGAAACAAAAAGAAGTGAGTGAAAACAAATCGAATCGAGAAATTTAACAGCCAAGGAAGACAGAGTATTAGAGTCCTAACTGAAGAGGGAATGAAGTAAGAGGGAATATCTGTTTGCTGGTAGAAATCTTGGGGAAAAAAGAGAAATGAATAGCACAGAGAGGAGAAGGAGAGTTGAATTGCTGAAATGGTGTTTTAGGTGAAAGGGATGGAAACAATTGTCCAAGTGAGAAGGATGCCATTATACAAGAGCTCAGATACTGCCATTCACAGCAGCAGTTGTGACAGCAGATAATTAGAGCAAAGACTGTCCTTCTCATAGGACCTTTGCACATCACATTTGTTCCACCTTATAAGCTAACATGGTATCCCCAGATAGCCTCACTCCCTGTGTTGGCCATTACTCTGGGGTGCAAATACTCCATTAACTAAGGAAATTTGTGTTAGTATTACCCATTAGTTCCTTTCCTGAGGACACACTAATCCTTATGCAGAGTGAGGAACAGAGTAGACATCACTCCAACCCCATTGTCCAAAACTCAGGACTATCAAAATTCAAAAGTGAATAAAAAATTCTAGCAACTTGAAAACTCAGAATTAAATGAGAACACATTGTGCTCTTTATACAAAGACTTAAACAATCTCTTCTGAAGCAGACATAAAAAGTGAAGAAGAAGGGAGAAAAACAAAAGGGTCACAAGAAAATAGAGAAGTCCACCATGCATGAGAAGCACTAAAACCTTAACTGGAGAAATTTGTGTATAATACTTAGAAACAGAATGACAAAGAGAATGAGAGAATAATAAACACAAATGTTTTTTCAGAGTAAATGAATTATTTGTAGACATTAATAATACAAAGAACAAAACTTAATCACCAGATGAATTAGAAAATAAGTGTCAATACTTTATTAAAATAATACATTTTCTAGAAAAATATGAGTTATAAAAATTGACTCAGTAGCATAAAATCTAAATGAACCAGAATTTTAGAGCATACTTCATGAACTCACAAACTGCTATTTTCAAAAATATTCCACAATTCAAGTGATAAACACACATTACTGTTAAAATTAATATAATTATATTTATTGTATTAATGTAAAATATTAATAATCAGGAAAAGGGGTATGGCGTATATGGGAACTTTACTATTTGCAATTTTTCTGTAGCTCTAAAAACATTTAAATTATTTTTTTCATTGTTTTTAAAAATTAATAGTTTCCTGACAACCAATAATGAGTTAGAAAATAAACTGGACTATAAAAGTCCAACTATGCAAATAAGTTCTCAGGAATAAACTTAGTTCAAATTAGTGCCCTAAGCCAAAAACAAAAACAAAAACAAAACAAAAAATTGTACTGATATATAAAACTAAAACTACAAATGTTCTTGTAAAGGATAAGTAAATATTACAGAAATGTCTCTTCTTCCCAAATTTATACACAAGTTTATCTCAAACATAAATTTCCCATAAGGTTCATTTTCAGAGGGAAGGAAATGAGGGAGAACTTGACAGAAATGTACTGGCAAAAAATATATATATATATATATTTTTTTTTTTTTTAACAAAAAGTGAAAGTATTTCCATTTTTTTCTGATCTCTCATATAAATGCAGTTGGGAAGTGAGGCCTGCCCAAGACATGTGAAGTTATTCTGACATGATGATCGTATAAGCATGGAGGTACCAATAAATAATGAAATGATATGAACAGAAAAATATTCATTTCAACTAAAAAAAAGCCTTGTCCTTGAAATAAGAAACTACACTTCTATATCAGCAATTATGGAAAATATACATATTATCATAGAAATCATAACAAATTACATAATATCTTTATTTGAAGTATATTTCTCCATGTACAATAAAAATATGCTTTATCTTTAATTTCAAAGTAGACAAAGAAATACATATCTTCATTCTTATCATCCCCGTTCACTCGTAGATATATTGTCAGTTTAGCCCTAACCAAACATGGTAGGTCAAATAAGTGTTATTAATACATTTCCAAAACACAGGAATACTTTTCAAAAAGAACTGTTAAGTAGGGTGGTCAAAATCTTGCATTTGTCATACATTTTTTGTAAATTCATTTTACTATAAATGCTGATACCTCTCCCAAAGACACATTGCAAACACTCACCAAGAAATATTTTCTCACTTTTTTATTTTCTTGCAATAATCTAAATCACAAAACTAGGATAAAATCCAATTATTTCTCCAGAATAACCAAGTATATGTTCCTTTTTAGTAATATTGTCTCCAGTTCAGGTTGCTATATATTTTAAATCATACTTTTCCTCAAATTTTATTTTTTATTTTTACTTTCTTATTTATTATAAATTACATATTTTACACTTACATTTCAATTCTGACTAACCACATCCTAGGTGCTCAGTACCCACATGTGACTAGTGACAACTGTAATGGACAGCATATCTCTAAACTGTAAAGTCCACATTGTTTACTAGTACAATAAGGAAAAAATAAAACCTCTTGAAGAAATTACTAGTAAGATGGTAATGTGAGTAATTACTGTTGCACAAACACCATGATGACCAGTGCCTAACAGAAACAGGAGAAAACCAGCCAAAGGACCAGAAATATGAAGTAATGTCACCCTCACGTGAGAAATTTCCAGCCAATTTTACACAAGTAGAACAAATAGAACCAATCTTAAGGGGCCCTAAAGGACTGGTGTAAAACTCCCCATCCTATGAAAGAGGTGGACGCTAACTAGAAGCCACTGTCACTCTCAAAAAAAGGAGCCAGTAACCCATGAAACAGAGTAGACTCTTGAGAATGCTTCCTCCAGGATTGGCAGAGTTGTCCTAGCAAGACGTCATTCCTCAGCACATGCTGACCTTCTTCTTCACCCCAGAATAAGAACCTGAGTGAAGATTGGGGGCAAAAACTAAGAGTTGTTCTCAGGAGGAACCAGTAAGAACATGTGAACATGAGGAGAATAGAACAGGGAAAAGACCAAGCAGGGGTGCAGATTCAGGTAAAGTTCCAGCTTCGGCCCCATCCTGTGGGTCAACCCAGAGCACAAATGACACCTCAGAAATTGTCCAGCGCCTTGAGGCAAAGTAGCTAGGTTACTGTACCCTCATACCAGTCACAACTAGAGGGAGAGGGGGAAGTAAGGAACTTTTGAGTACTTACTTTCTCTCTTCAGGAAAGAGAAAGCTCATCTGTCTAAGGACAGTCTACTGAAGGTGCCAAGTGTGAGCTGTTGTTAGTGGCCAACTGTGCAGATGCTGGGAATGGGAGAAAGATCTGGAAAAAGGAGTCTAAGGGGCTCATGGTAGGGTACCAAAAGAGCTCACAACCCATCCCTGTAGCTGTCAGATCTCAGAACTGCAGAATCTAATGTAGGTTAGATGTAGAATTCCCTTTTTCTCCTTTGAGTGGAAGAAATTATACACAAGTCCCACTAGTTCTGAAAAAAAGTATATTCCAACTTCTGCTTGAATATAATATTGAAAAAAATCTATAGGAATAAAATAATAAATCTTGGACAATTACTGATTGACGTTCCCAACAAAACCCCAAACAATACTGAATAAATAAAATAAAAGCAATTGATGATAAAGAGAGAATAATATGCAAACAATAAAGAATGTAACCAAATTAAAAGTACAATGAGAACTGTAAATTCAAGACCGAATCAGGACAACAATCCACTTAATAGAGTAGAAGATAGATTGGGAGAATGTCAGTGTGATTACTCAGATGTGAAGGATAAAATAATGAAATGAAAAACATGGGAGACAAGGGAGCTAGATCCAATCTACATATTGAGACTAGCAAGTAAAAAAGAAACAATAAATAATTACATAAAATTTACTTGAGGCAAATTAAGACCTAGGTATACCATGCAAAAATAAATACAGAAGAAGATCGTGACAAAGAAGAAAAAATAGTGCAACACATATACAACAAAACACAAACAAACCAAAACAGATTAAAGTTAGACATTTCAGACATAAGTTAGCATAAGCTTCTAAAGCATTTTTGCCTTTTTTGGGGAAGACTGCCTTATTCCTACAAATTTTACTTGGTCAAGTTTGTCTTCTCATTCACACAAAAAAAGTTATTCTAAGATGAAACAACAAAGCATAACCCTCAGATTTCTTTGGTTCACAAACTGTTAGGTATATAAATCAACCAGTAGAGATTGAAAAAAAAAAAAAGATGAGTTTGATACTAAAGAAGTGATACTGAACAATAAAATCACCTAAACACGAATTAAAATGATTGCTAAAATATTTAAATTTTTTTAAAAATAGCTATTCATGGTGGCACAGGTCTGTAGTCCCATCTACTCGGGAGACTGAGGTAGAAGGATGGCTGAGCCCAGGAGGTTGAGACTGCAGTAAACCTTACTCAAAGTATAATATAAGAAATATACATATACATAACCATAAAGATTTTAAAAAAAAATTAAAGACATAATGTGAAGGAAATCCTTTGCCTTAAATTCAAGGTTATAAAAAAAAAAAAAAAAAAAAAAAGGATCCCTGGTAAAATTACATAAAAGCTTGCTTCAGTATCATCTCACACAGATGGGGTATGGGTGAGTAGAGATTAACTGACCCAATTTCATTCCTAACCATAAATGTGTATGTGTGTGTGAGTGTGTGTATGGTTCGGACATGAGTGCTTTCTTTTAACCACCAACAGAATAAAATCAAATGAGCACATTTCAAATCACAAAAATAAGAAAAAAGTAGTTAGCCATATGGCATGATACGCAAAGAAAGATGAAAAACACTTAAAACTATAGGCTGGAATATTGTACAGCTATTACAAATCATTCCCTTAGAGATTATTTAATGACTTGAGGACAGTCTCATGACATAATTTTAAGGTGCATAGCTATTTATACAATTCAAAGTCAACTTTATGAAAATAAACCATATGTGCACAGAAAACAGAAACAACACTAAACCATTTAGTTTCTTCATACAAAGGACTTATGAGTAATTCTTTTCCTTCTTTATTACATTTCTATATACAGCATTTGAGATAATCAGAATAAAAATATTAAACAATTTTTTGTCTAGCATTAAATCATATTAGTATATATTACTTATATTACAAGTTGACTAATTTAAATAGAATGTATCATACAAAAATAGAAAACAGGTGATTGGTTTTCAAAATGAAAGATTTTCCTGTATTTCCCAAATTTGAAAGCACAGGTATGTGAAACTAAAAATAGATAAATGTTCCTTGAAAGGCCTAAAGAAAAACATGTAACACCATAATATATGTATGGCAGATTAAAGATGGTCACACCTTGGAGAGGTGCTATGTCCCTGTTCCTTGGTTCTGGGTAAAGTCTTCAAATGCTTTGACCAATATAATACAATGGAAGACTCACTGTGCCTTTTCCCAGTAGATTCCACATCCTGTCACTTGGAACACTCGCATTTGGACCCCAGTTAACATAATACAAAAAGCCCAAACCACATGAAGAAGCTATGTGCCAATTAAGCACTCTAGTCAACAGCCCCAGCTGAACGCCAAGAAGATACCTGCATCAACTGCTAGCCATTTGAAAGTCTAGTATCTTGTACATCCTCAACCCAGTGAGGCCTATATACAACATAAGCCCCACCCACTGCTGGCTGGAAATCATGAGAGACTCCAAGCAAGAACTGCCCAGTTGAGTCCAAAGAACAGTGAGAGATAATACATTTTTTAAAGGTACTAAGTTTTATGATTTTTTTTTAATGCAGCAGTAGAGTAGATATAATTGTATGAGTGTGTATGTGTGTGTTAGTACATAGGGGAAAATATTTTAACCAAGTAAGTTTTGACACGACTTGTTGTAAACAACTAGAAGTTGAAGGAGAGCAACATTGCTCCTTAAATATTAAGTAAGCAAAAAAATTATTATGATCTCCACTTCAAAAACAGAAATACATTACATTTAGTTAGGCTAAATTCACCTGTAATCAAAGGTGGAATAAATAAATATAAAATTAAATCTCAGAATCAGAGAGAGAAATAATTAAGTCTAAGGACAACCCAAAACATGTACGTTTACATTTACTAAGTTTCTACTATAAGCAAGGTACTTGTTTATGTGTTTTTGTTTCTCAGAAACTTGTCAACTTCTGAAAAATCTATATAACTAAATGTTATATGTTCCTGCTACCATAAGTTATACTGGCAATAAACCATTTTTCTTAAAATTTAATCTTATTTAAATATCATTATCAAGCTATTTAGCATTTAATTACCAAATTAACACTCATTTTGCTTAAGGCACAGTGCACAACTAATTAATACGCAAAACAATAAGTAGAGAAATAAAAAACTAACCTGGGCCATTTAAATACTGTGTAAGTGAACAATGTAGTCGAACAATTATAGGCTCTGTTCGAATTACTTCCCAAGCCACAGCAATCTCCTCCTGCATAGATATATTTAAAAGATGAATTAATCATCTTTTAGAGTTCAAAGTAAAAAAAAAAACCTTTTAAAGCTTATGTTAAAGAAATGCATAAATCATGAAGGCTTGCCTATAAATTATCTAAAAACCCACTGTTGTGTGAAAAGAAGGCCAAAATACCCTTAATTTTTGCCTTCTATGTTTAAAAACTAAGTGTAAAAACATATGATACAAAGAAGTACTATAAGCACCCATAAACTTTAGAATATATTAAAAGAACCATGGCAAAAATATATACATACATAATCTGTGCTTTTTGACAAGTCATAGCACTTCTTCACAAGTCACTTTAACAGTTGATATGTAACTAATAGCATTATAAGAGAACTGAAAATTAAATTCTCTCCAGAATAAAAATAAAGGTATTATAAATGTACCAGTCATATTACATAAGTTGATACTTACATCAAGAAAGCTAACATCAATATGGAGATCAATATCTACATCATCAATGGCTCCATATTCCCTGAAAGTAAAGATGAACATTAATTTTTTTTTTCATTTTTCTTAAAAGATAGTATGTGCTAGGTTATTTTAATTAAAACTTAAATCACTAATTCTGATTTCTACAGATAATTCAGATTTAACTGTGGACATGAATCAACTAACTCGATGTAGTTGGATTGTTTTTTTCTATGACCTATTTACCTCAAACAGACATCTTTCTGTCTTTATGTGCATACATAAGCATATGCATATGTAAATTGCTTGGCTCATAGTTTTAAACATGCCCAGTTCTCTGCGGTAAATAAGTCAATCTTTCCATGTGATTGCTCTGTTTTCATTACATGCTCTAAGGAAGAATAGCTGCTTCCAAGGGCAAAAGGAGTTCATGACATGAGGAGGGAGTGTGAAGGGACACACAAGAATGTGTCCATGAATTTCCTTGCAGTTAGGCATCACTGATTCCAGGTGCTCTGCTTCTTAAATGTCCCTGTGCTTTGACAGGCTGCTCTAAAAATCTGTTACATCAATATTAAAACAAGAAACTACAGCATGTTCTACATGAAGCCTTTATGAAGACCAACTTTGTACAAGCCAGGTAGTGCCATCAGCCAGTATATTTGGTTAAGTTAATAAAAGAATAGAAAAACAATAGTTTTAATATTCTCCATATACATGCATTGATGCTTTTAATATTCTTGTAAAATCTTGTAATTATAATTATAATTGTAACACTAAAGGTACTATCCCCACTTTATACATGTGTAAACTGAGGCCCGAGTAATAATCACCACTCTATAGCAGAGCTGGGACTTAAATGTATGTATTCTAGTTAATATTCAAGAGACTATCACTTTGTATTGGAACCCAGGTCAAACTTAATGGATGATCTCATAGGTCATAATCATAGCCTTGTGAGGTGAATATTACTATACTCATTTTGCAGATAAGGAAACTGAAGTTTAGGAACATGAATAAAGTTGCCTAAATGAAATATAAGAAGTCAAGGGGGAAGTCCGGCATTGATCGCATGTGCAGCTTTGAAACTATAAAATATAGTATCTGGCACACAGTAAGTACTCAATACAATTTTTCTCTATTTTATATTCAAGTAATCCAAATGTAACATATAATTGTACTTACTTTTATAGGGTTAGGAGAAGAACTGTTTAATGATTAAATAGTTTTATATCGTTTAATGAGTAAAGGAATCCAGGATGCCTTTTTGCTTTTTGATAGCTATGACAAAAAGAAAGGCAGCATACTAAAATATAACTTACCTTCTGTGCTTTCTCCATTCTCCCCTTTAAAATATATTAAAACATTGAGTACATTTTCATTTTTATGAAGTTCTACTTTTTATTCCTTCATGATAATATTTCTAAATGTTACATTAAAAAGGGATACAAATTTCATTACATAAATATTAATTTTTTTAAGCATCAAAACATCAGAACATCTGTGCTTTTCAAACTATTCCAAAAAACTGAAGAGGAAGGAATTCTTCCAAACTCATTTTATGAGGTCTGCATTATCTTAATACCAAAAACAAACAAGGAAACAACACCAATGACAAGACCACAGGAGAATATCCCTGATGAATACATATGCAAAAATCTCTAACAGAATAATAGCAATCTGAATTCAACAGCACATTAAAAAGATCATTTACGATGACTAAGGGAGTGCAAGGCTGGTCCAACATGCACAAATCAATAACTGTGATCACATTAACAAAATCAAGAAAAAATATGGTAATTTTAATAGACATAGAAAAAATATTTGATAAAATTCAACATCACTTCATGCCAACAACAAAAACAAAAAACTCTGAGCAAATTAGGTACAGAAGAAATATACCTCTACAAAATATAGGCCATATACAACAAACACACAGTTAACATCGTAATGAATAAAAAATTTTTTTAAAGTCCAACAGCTTTCCTCTAAGATCTGGAATAAGACAAAGATGGCAATACTATTCAACATAGTACTGAAAGTTTAGCTAGAGTAATTAAGCAAAAGGGAAATAAAGGGCATCCAAATTAAAAAATCAGTCATTTTGTATACAACATAATCATATATATATATAAAAGCCCTAAAGATACTACCAAAAACCTGTTAGAACTAATAAATGAATTTAGTAAAATTGCAGGATACAAAATTAACAAATAAAACTTCAGTACACCAATAGTGACCTATACGAAAAAGAAATCAAGAAAGCAATCTCACTTACAATAGCTACAAAAAAAAAAAAAAAAAATCAACACATGGGAATAAATTTAACTCAAGGGGTAAAATATGCCTACAATAAAAACAATGATGTAAAAAATGAAAAACTGAAGAAGACACAAATAAATGGAAAAACAATTCCACGATCATGGATTAGAAGAATTAATGTTGTTAAAATGTCCATACTGTCCAAGGTTATCTACAGAGTCAATGCAATCACTATCTAAATACCAAAGACATTCTTCACAGAAATAGAAAAACAATCCTAAAGTTCAAATGAAACCATAAAGCACCACCAATAGCCAAAGCAAAGAACAAAAAGAACAAAGCTGAGACATCACACTATCTGACATAAAAAAAAGTATTACCACGCTGTGGTAACCAAAATAGTGATGGTATTTGGCATAAAAACAGACATGAACACCAATGGAAGAAAACAGAGAACACAGAAATAAATGCACACATAACCAACTGATTTTTGATGAAGCACTAAGAATACACCTTGGGGAAAGGACAGTTTCTTCCATAAATATTGCTAAGAAAACTGGATATATCCAAGCAGAAAAATAAAACTATTTCTCACTATATACAAAAGTTAACTCAAAGTGGACTAAATATTTAAATATAAGATGCTAAACTAAAAAACTTCTAGAAGAAAACATAGGGAAAATGCTTCATGACAGTGGCCTGCGCAAGGATTTTTTAAAATAAGAAATCAAAAGTGCAGGCAACAAAAGCAAAAATAGACAAAAGGCCTCTGTACAACAAAGGAAACAATCAACAGAATGGAGAGATAACCTGGGAGAATTATTTGCAAACTATGCATTTTACAAGAGGTCACTTTCCAGAATATATAAAGGAACTCAAAAACTCAGTAACTAAGAGATAAATAATCTGACTTAAAAATGGGCAAAAGACCTGAACAGAAAGACACTACAAATGACCAAAAAGCACATGAACAAGTACATTACTAGACATTGGGGAAATAAATATCAAAACCATACTAATACCTCATCCCAATTAGAATAGCTGGTATCAAAAAGATTTTTAAAAAAACAAATGCTGATATGGATGTGAAGAAAAAGGGAACTCATATAAACTTTGTGGAAATGTAAACTGGTACGACCATTATGAAAAACAGTGTGGAGGTTCCTCAAAAATTAAAAATAAAACTACTGTTAGATGCAGCAATTCCACTTCAGGGTATATATTCAAAGGAAATGAAATCTGTATGCGGAGGAGATGTTTGCCCTCCCATGTTTATTGCAGCACTATTCACAATACCCAAGATTTGAAATCAACCTAATTGTCTATCAACAGATGAATGAGTAACAAAAATGTGGTAGATATGCACAATAAAATACTACTCAGTCATAAAAAATGAAGGAAATCCTGTCATCTGTAGCAATATGGATATACCTGAAATAAGTCAGACACAAAAACAAATATAGCATGATTGCATGCATTTGTGGAATCTAAAAATGCTGATCTCAGAGAAGTACAGAGAAGAGTGCGGCAGCTGGGGAGTGTAGAGGGAAAAAAGACGGTGAGAAAAGATTGAGCAACGAATAAAAATTATAGCTCAACGGGAGGAATAACTTCTGGTGTTCTATAGCAAAGTAGGACAACTATGGAAACAGTAATATTCAAAATAACTTGAAAAGAGGATCCTTAATGTTCTCACCAAAATACATGATAAATGCCTGAGGTGATGGATATGCTAACTAACATAATTTGATCATTACACAATGTTTACATGTAACAAAAGATCACACTGTACCATATAAACATGTACAATCATTATGTATCAACTGAAAGCAAAAAAAAATTTAAACATATGTAAGGTACATTATTTGGCACATAGAAATTTTATTTTAAGTACTCAATATAAATTTATATCTATTATATATTTAAGTATTCCAAAAATATATACAATTGTGGCACTTTTATAAGGTTCAGAGAAGAAATGATTAATGATTGAAAAGTTTTATATAATTTAATGAATAAAGGAATCTAAAAGACCTTTTTGCTTTTTTATATATGACCAAAAAATGGCAGCATATCAAAATATAAGATAGCTTTGGTGCTTTCTCCATTTTCCCCTAAAAAGTATATTAAATCATTGAGCACATTTTCACTTAATAAAATTGTACTTTTTATTCATGGCAATATTTTTATAGGTTACATAAAGATAAATTATTTACATAGGAATTAATTTTTTAAAAACCATCAAAGCATCATAACATCTGTGCTATTCATAAAGGATAAGATCATGTGCAAATTTAGATATGAAATTATACAGAAAGTATGACAAGAATAAAGATCAAGGAAATAAAGCATGTCATCCATGTCTCTGATTTCAGAGCACAGCAAATTTTTTTCTGCGAAGGTGAAAACAGTAAATATCTGAAGCTTTTCAGGCCATGTACAGTCTCTATCACATATTCCAAGTTTTGTTTTTGTTGTTTAGCAATCCTCTAAAAAAGCGAAGACCATTTCAGCTCACAAGCTGTTCAAAACAGCCCTCACAGCCCAGTGGTCGTACTTTATGACCTTGAACGTTGGTCAAATATGCATGAATGCAATAGATCAAATATCCATTTTTAGGCATGTAAAAAGAGAGAGCCACTAAATGCAATGACGAGGAGAGACAATGATGTTCAAGAGAAGTTTCAGGGGATGAAGAGATCCTGACTACAATCACTCCACTTATAGGAGTTAATCCTAAGAAAATAAGAGCAAATATGTTCGAACTGTTACCTAGAGTGATGTATATAAGAGCAGAAATTT